GGTCACCTGGATCTACACTGCAATAATAAGACCTATGTTAATGTACGGAGCCATTGCATGGGGACCGAAAGTTCTACAAGCAACGGACATCCAAAAATTATATCAAATACAGCGGCTGGCTTGTTTAAACATCACAGGAGCCATGAGAACAACACCAACCGCAGCAATGGATTTAATTACTGGTCTGACCCCTCTGGGCCTGTACGTTAAGGAGGTTGAGTTAATGGCCATGTTACGATTGCGCACGGCTGGTGTATACCTCGAAGTAGGAATGTGTCAATTGTCAAAATATCAGCGTGGTCCAAACAAAAATGGCTGGTATCTCAATCGCCACAAAGGTAATAACCAGGAAAGGAATTTCTGGCAAAAACCTAACAATCTGCACTTATAGCAGACAAGCCCTATTAGTCTTGAACAGACGATGTGTTACCTCAGTGCTAGTACTAGAGAGCCACCAAGATTTAGCCAAAGCCTCGGTAGATAATAACCTGAGGTGGGTTGAAGGGCATGACAGGAGTAAAGATAATCACATTACCGACTCTTTAGCCAAGGAAGCGGCTGGACTTATAATTTGCCAGGATCACCCTGGGATGCTGACTCCGAAGACTCGGAAAAATCTACGCTTAACAGTAGGATTTCTGACTGGCCACTGTCAACCAAGGAAACACCTCCACGATATAGGGCTAGTGGACACACCTTTATGCAGGATGTGTGAACAGGAAGATGAAACTGTTAGGCATGTCCTATGCAAATGTCCGTCAATAAGAGAGTGTGTGTTTGGCGAGTCTTGGCTTACACCTGCTGATATCTGTCTCCCAGAGATCTGTCCACCTTCCTGGAAAGGACGATGACCTAGAAGGACAACTCCTTGGGAGAAAGTACAATGGGCCTACACTCACCCTCCCTACTCTACAGATACAGCTGTTTCCTGTACTAGTCCGTACAGGTCTGTTGTTGGATGTACGCCATACTCTTCTGTTTGCCTCTTGCATAAATATGACGACTTGTTTCTGCCCCTTTGTTGCATTGTTTGGAGCTAAGGTATCCGTTGTACAATCCAATTTTGTTCAGATGCCCTCTCAATGGTCAGTCTCCAATAAGAATCCCTATAATTGTTATGAGCCGATCCCTGCTTTGTTGAATCACTTCTTCGGTTCTCTTCTCGGACTGTCCCTTTATGAAGGTACTCTTACATATCTTAAAGACCTATTTCTCAATATGGTTCCGTACCAAAGATTTTGGTATCCCCACCATGTATACAGGACCTATGTATACAGTTAGGGATCCGCATCCGGCACACTGGTCAGCTCTTTCTCTGCCCATGATACCTAGCACCCAGTATATAGTCAATCTATTCCTGGTCACTAACTTCCTCAGTTCCTCACAGCACTTCGAGGCCAGTGTTGATGTCACTTTTAGGGTTTTCAGTGTCCATAGTGCAGCTTGGCTGTGTTGCAAGGGACAGGCTTTGCCAAACAGGCATAGAATACTTGGAGTTTTAGACTTTTGTCAAAATCTACTAGAGTCAACCCGTTCTAACACTTGACAGTTTCCTACACAATTTTATATTGTCTTGAAGGAAATATAGTATTATCATTATGTATATAAATATCATTCTAGCACCAAATATGTATTACAAAGTGATACTGTGAGAATGAAATTTAGTTGTTTCAAAATGAATCACAAATAAATATATTCATCATGCACGTGTGAATGCAGGTCGCCCTACGACGTCTAGCCAACCGACAACCATTCCTCTACCCAGGGACTTCCCCCGAAAGTCTCCCGTCCGGGAGTTACACAACGATCTTGACGAGGCTCTAGCCAAACTGCAGCAGATTCTTGCGAACAACTTCTGCTTGGACGAATCTCTGGGGCACGTCGACAACACGAACTTGAAATACGCTGTTTCGGAGGTGGAAGGTATGTTGACTTCGTTTATCGATACCGTCGAGAACAGCAGGGCCAACTCTGCTGGGTCCTGCAGATTGAAAAGCGAGACCGAAGGTAGAGAAAGGTTTTGAACACGAGGGGAGTTATAATTTTGACAGAGTGACAGGCTTTGTCGCTGGAGTTGGTGCATAAATTATTTTTAGAGGTGGTGTCTCTCTAATGAAGTTATTTTGTAGTATATTTTTGAGGTCTTCCTCATTGTTGAGATATCTAAAAGTTATTTTTTTTTCAGTTTTATTTATTTCAAACTTCAATATTTGATTTGTGTTTGGTACAAAAATGAGTAGTTGCTTAAATGTGGTCAGTATTTTATTTATTCTAGTATATTTCATAAAGGCTTAAACGAATTTAATAAACTACCACAATTTGTAAAAGAATCTAATTCAATAAACCCATTTAAGTCATCATTAAAGAAGTATATTAGTGACAGCTCATTATGATATTTGTAATTGTTTATTTTTTAATGTGGACTAACCTAACAATCTATAGATATGTCTGTATATTTGGTTTTCCTTGAAAGGTACTTTAAAATGTTATTATATTTACATATTTGATGTCGTGAGATATTTATGAATTTGTAATTTTTCTTTTTTTTGTGTATTAGGCTTGCCTACTTAATAAATAAATACATAAGTGATGGCATCTTTAACATCAGCTGGTTTAACAGGTTTAATAAAAAATGAGGAAGAAGGTGCTGGAAAATTTTTGAAATTCAATAATTCTAAGTCTGGCGCAGAAGGTAGGGACTTGATGATATTTTCCGCCACATTACTGAAGGAATCGATGAAATCCTCCGAACACAAGTCATTTGTTAAATTATCATTTTTTATTTTCACCGAATTTCT